TTAAGTGTAAGAGCTAGTACCAAGCCTGAGCTATTGGCTGAGCATTTACAACTAATATAAGCCTCATAGTGGCTATTTGGAAGCAGCTGCTGGGATGGAAAAACTCCACTTACATAACATATGAAATCTATTTTTTTTTTCTATTGGACTTTAGTCATGGATAAAGGTCACAGGCTGTCAGGTTCACAAGATGAAGCTCTGAGAAATGACCCAGCCAGATACGGAAGAGGCAAAAATAGAACTTAAAATATGCACATTTATGTCTAGGAATCTCTTTACAGAAGAATGTTAGTGAATAAGAGAATTAGAAATTCAGCAAAAATTTGAAAAACCCTTTCATTCATTATGCATCCGAGCTTACTTAGTTCACATCACAGATTATTGGCATTACAAGGCTATTGCAGGGAGCAGAACAGTTTTCCATGGAGACTACATTCTAATGGGAAAACCCAGACAAAAACAATCGAGCCATGCAGAGGAAAATCATGCAGAAGAGAAGTAAAGAGCATAGCAAGGGCTGGAGGTGAGTAGCTTGGCAGGGTAGTTCTTCCAGATGAGGTGCTAGGGAAGTCTGCTGCCCAGGTGGCGTTTGAACAGGAGAGTAAATCACGTGAATGACTGGAGAAGACCTTGCTGCTGTGGAAGACTCGGCAGGTGTGAAGGCTATGAAAGAAATCCTAGCTGCAGCTAGTGTCCTTTTAAAGAGGCGTCATCTGGATTTCCTTCTCCTCCAGGTAAGTTTAAAATAGCTTCTGAAGCATCTGCTTTCAGTGCTTAAACATGAGTTTTAGAATTATTTGTATTGCATTTATTGGGGGGTGGGGGTGGCGGGAGACATGCATGGTACAATGCCTGTGTGGAGGTCAGAGGACAGTCTATAGGAGTCTGTTCTCTTCTCCTTCTGTGTGGGCCCTGGGAATCGAACTCAGATTGTTGGGTTTGGCAGTAAGTGCCTTTTCCCACTGAACCGTCTCCCAGTTTTACATTTTTAACTTAAAAGTTGTTTTTTAAAATCTGATTTCAGACAGTAATACTTACTAGAAATTAAATTCCCTGCTATTAAATTAAAAGGAAAAGAAGTCCTGGAATAAACTCAAAGACTTGCTGAGTTTTTTTCCCTTCTCTGTGATCTCACCACTGACAGCTACTGGACAGACTCATAGCCAGTATCCCGAGGTAGATGTAGCCTGCAGAAACTTTCCTTCTTCTGCTTTCATATGGCAGTAGGACTCAAAATATTCAAAAGAAAACAAAACAAAGAATAAGAAAAGAAAACGAAAGCTGTATTATCAAAAAAGGCACAATCACCAACATGGACATCTGGAGGAAAATTTATTATAGTAAAATGGCAAAATGTAAGTTATATTAGCAATATAACTTATTTTGAATAATTTATCATTTAGAACTTATTAAACAGAGATCTAGATAAGAAAAAGTGACCAGAGCATTCCTTCTTTATGACATCATAGAAGTTAGGTATCATGGGGACTTAGAGGTCTTTTCACACAGTTTATTTGATGAAGCCATTCTAGGAATGGGAAGCCAGAGGCTGGCCAGAATGCAGCCAGAGGTGCAGAGGGTATGCCTTCCTTGCACTGTCTGGGTTCAGGATGACCCACTCAAGGGCCAAACCTCCCAAAGTGTTCCCAAACTCAGATGTTGAGATCTGTCCCACTCAGCAGCTAACCAAGACTCAACTCAAGGGTCATCCTATAAAGTTGCCTACATTACTTTCTTCTCTTTTTTCCTTCAAGATTCTTGTCTCTTGTTGAGTTGGGATTAAGATATCCTGGGGCCAAAAGGACAAAGGTCTCTTTTCCTGGTCAAGTTACTGTCTATATGGTTGGTCTCACACGTCTGTGGACTTCATAAAGAGAGCAACTTCTTCAGCCCTCCTCTCCTCATCCACACACACACACTGAGCTCTCTTCAAGGCACAGTTATAGGCAATAATCTCTTGTGACAGACTGAGGAGTGTAGTTATTAAGAGTGTGGGCTTAGGAATCTATTACTGGTGGTCAGGTATTTTGTGACTTAATAGCTCACTGGCTGTTGGCAAGTTTTAAAGTTCTTTATGCGTCAATTTGCTTGCAAAATGGAGCTAATAGACTAGTACCTCTATTGTAGGATTACTGAGAGGCTTAAAAGGGTGAAGTCAGGGTCTGAACAATTACCTGTATTTCACTCATGTAATATGAGGGGCAGATTCCAGCCATTTCTCTGATCTGGCATAACATACACAGTGGCTTGCAAGGTATCCTCCTGGAACCAGTAGCATTAATGTTATTTGAGTTTTCTTTTCTTTTTTGGATGTAAACTCTCAGGCTCCACCCCAGACCTATAGCATCAGAAACTGGGATGGATAGTCTGTTTCCACAAGTCTAGCAGGTGACCCAGTTATAACCTCCATTTTGAGAACCATTGGCATAGCAGGTTAGGTGTAGACTCTGAAACTACAGTAACTAGTTAGGTGGTCTGAAATAAGTTCTTTAACCTTTCTGTGGCACAGTTTCCTTGTAAAAGGGAGTATAATGTAACCTACCTAACAGTGTTGTAAGCATTGAGTGTTGGTTCTAGTAAATGCTCCCATTTGTCATCACTGACAATTTTTTGAAGCACACATGCTCACATAGACCTAAGTAGGTAGGGAGAAGGGGGGCGGGGGTGGAGGAGGAAGAGCTGTCTTCTCAAAGCAAGGTCTGAAAGCAGCAGAGCCACCACAGCATCAGAGTCGTTTGAAATGCAGACTCCCAGGGGCCTGCCCAGCCGTGTGAAATGACGCGTATATTTTACAAAATACAACATGTCACGGCAGACATTCTGCTACTCCATGTGAAGTGGACTGAGGTAAGTGGCCAATATTATCTGTGGAGGTGAGAGTGGACGAACTGATGCACAAGGAAAACGCTGGGAACAAGATGATGGACACAACCCATGCCTCTTCCTGCCTCCAGCCTCCTAGCCTTCACTTTTATTTTGAAGGAGAATTTTAAAAATGTTATGTCAGTTGTCCACCCCAGGACACTTCTGAACATTTGCTTAGAGAATTCCCTGTAGTAAGAAATGTTTCCAATCTGAAATGTGCCAAGCATGCTAACAATTACTTGTAACCTCAGCACTTGAGAGGTCAAGGCAAGAGGGCCAGGAGTCTAGGGTCACTCTTGGCTTCATAATGAGTTCCAGGACAGTCTGGGCTACATGAAATCCTGTCTCAACATGTTTTCCCTTTATTGAGCGAAGCCAGCACTCACCATCCTCTGTTATTATAGACACATTTCCCACAATCAATAGAGCACAGAAAAATGCATGAGGCAGAGACATTTGGAAGAATTCCATTTATTGTGGATGCATTTTCACAATATATTTTTATTGCAGCGATCAATCATCAGTGAAAAATACCAAGTGTTTATAATGTTTTTAACAATGGCAGATTCACAGAACACGCTAGTCCACGTGCAGTTTCCTCTCTTAAAGATAACAGAGAGCTGTAATTGAACAAGTAAATGAGAAATTTGCTTTCTAAATCCAAGCAGAACAAAATTCTACCCTAAAACTTATGTCATCCAAATATTGGAATAAAATTTAGGATCAAAACATTCTTTTTCCAACTTTGAACTTCCTTAAAAGCAACAAAACCCAAAAAGCCTATGTAATAGCGGTCAGGAGAAGGCCTTTGTTCAAAGCTCTAACACAGCCGTGTTCCCTCACCATCAATCTGATCCATTTTACTCCAATGATGGAAGTCATTTCCATGGTGCACCATGTGCATTCTAGTTCATCTTACCATAGACTTGTGTCTACTCTGTCATGGATAGATGACTCGTGTAGTCTTAGTGGCTTTCCTTCCTTTGGCCCAAGTGTGCTAAAAGCTAGGGAATCCAACTATCTTTACTAATTCATGAGAAAAGTAGACTTTCAAGGCAGTGGCTACCCCTCAAGCCAGCCCTTCCCTCCTGAAGGGAAATATGTGGATTAAAATTAGAGCTATTTTGGGGGCTCTCCCCATGCGGAAGGAATGGAGACTAAGATAATTTTGGTTAAGTCAGCTGAGGTATGAATTTGTACAATGACACTGTACGCATAGAATGTTCTATATAGGAACATTCTGTAAGACGCTGGGGTACTTTTTGTCATCTAGTGGAAAGAAGGAAGAGAAGCTAATATAATATAGGCTCTGATAACCCTAGAGACCCCTGGCGAGGGAGTAAAACTATTAAAATTTACATATACTTTTGAAATTTCAAGATATTATCAATTTAGGACAGTACCAACTGACTAATAATGACAGAAACTTTTGATTTAAAGGGTCTGAGCACAACAAGATAGAAGCACTGCCATGCCTTTGCTCACTGTACCTGTCTGTTTCTCTACGAGGCAGAGTTGGTCATTGTTTAGGTGTCTACATGAATTCTAATTTGTGCAATACTGTCTCCAAACTCCTTGACTCTAAGTGGTACAGAAAGAAGACACCTTAGATATTATGTAGGCCAACTTTTGGGGGGAAACTTTACTGTTACAAATAAGTAGGCTTTGAGCTTGGTCCAGATGGTAGACTTAATAAAATTCACTCTGGACTTCAAGACTGCCCTCAATTATAAACTAAATACTATGTCTTATAAGAAATTTCAACTAATTTTGACACTTCTAATCTCTTTTTTTTCCAATACTTTTTTTTCTTATAAGTCATTGGGCATTGAAAACATAGCTATACCTAACTTCCATGTTTCTACTGGCAAATATGAAATATTATAATATTGTGATTTTTAATCTTCAAAAGCTGTGATATTGATGAGTTACAAGGACATACTACTAAATATAATAGTCTAGCACATGAAAGAGCAGCCTACCATTAGTGTGTCTGTATACATGTATGCACATACATTACATAGTTGTGTTATCTAAATGTGGTTCAGGCTACTATCACTACCAAAGAAATCCACAAAGCAATCAACCTGAAAAAGAATCAGTACCACGGTCAGCTAAAATAATCATCCAATTTAGGTATATGAACCAGCACATAAAAAAACAATATCTCAACAGTACATCTTTTTTTTTTTTTTTAAAAAATACAACCATTATTGCCCTAGATCAGATCTGAAATGGGTTACTTTCAGATAGTTTCGATTACCTACTTAGATAATTTCTTCCATGCTTTACTCTAAAGTGCAGAAACATGATGTCGTTATGGAAACAAAACAAAACCTATGGTTCATCCCCCCCCCCATACATTCCTCAGATAATCTTAACCTCAAATTCCTTTTGTTGACTTCCAATGTGGTTGGTGTCACTGTTCAGATGACAGCAGACAGTAGCGAGTCTATTTCACAGCATGGGTTTGTTTAGAAACAGGCTCCTTTGCAAAGGCAGTACTTTGACCATGAACATCTCTAGTTGTGACTATTAAATATAGTGAGCATATACATGGGTTTACTGGGATATTGGAAAATAAGAGAAAAAAAGGAAAATGAACCCAATTTAGTAAATCAACATAAATATAAACAGAGCAATTAGCCCCCTACAACTGAGCTGGCCCAGCAAGATGTCTTGCAGTTGGGTTCTTTCTCCGATTGTTTCAAACCTGCTGAGAGAAAAGAACTTTAAATCAGCAGCCCACAGTGTTTCAGTAGGATGGATTTTGTCAGAAAAATAAACTAGAAAGACATAATGTATGATAGGAGTAAATATAAATGACTTGAAGGGGGAGGGTATTTCTGGCATTCTCTTCAAATGTGACCTTTTGCTCCATCTTTATACCGATTTCTTTTCACTTTTTCTTTTCTTCTTACCTTGACCTTTGCTCATGACACTCAAAGTCAAGATGGCTTTCAAGCTCTACTATACAGACTGGGGATTTCTAGCGTTTTAGTTGTACATGACTGGTTAGCTCAGTCAAGGCCACAGCAACATGTAATTGTGACAGAGGACATGCTTACCATTGGTTTTCTCCTATGCACCCCTATCCATGTTCTTTTTTCTTAATCCCTACACACAGATCCTTGAGACTTATCTACCCTTTGTCTATTCTTATCCATTCCTCTCCCCTTCATCCAGCTGCTAAAAGGCCCTGCTGAGGTAAATAACATATTAATGAGTGATACATTGCATTTTCAGTGTGGTGTCTTTTCATTTCAAGGGAATGGCCACACATTAAGTAGGAAGTTTGGTGTTTTGGGAGCAGGGATGCCTCCCCTGCTGGCTCATTAAATCAGCTAGGTCTTGGTGGTGTCATTATAACCTCTGTAGGAGATGAGTGGTGAGACTAGTGAGGAAGGCATGATCCCTCTCCTTTGTCCCACCGTGCTGCACAGTACCAAGTACACCTTCCATGCTGTCTTGTATGTGAGAGGTGTCCTCTTAGTCCCACCATTCTAGAGTGGTTTTCCTCTACTTTCCACAGCTTGAATGTGTGACCACAGAGACCCTGATACCTGTGACAGTGGACAGTCAACATCCCCTAGTTAGAAAGGAAGCTGTCATAATATTTGGACCACTGCTTTGGAAGATATTTCTTTTCTTTTTTCTTTTTTTTTTCTTTTTTAGATTTACTTATTATGTATACATTGTTCTGCCTCTATGTCTGAAGAGGGCACCAGATCTCATTATAGATGGTTGCAAGCCACCATGTGGTTACTGGATATTGAACTCAGGACCTCTGGAAGAACAGCCAGTGCTCTTAACCCCTGAGCCATCTCTCCAGCCCCCTTTGGAAGATATTTCTATGCTACCAGGATTTTAAAGTCTTAGGCCCACAAGTTCATTCTTTGTGTTAAAAAAAAATTCATCCTTCCCCTGCCACCAATAGAAAATTAGGAAGGTAATTTAAGAACATTACATTTTCTGCTGATGTACATTCTAAAAAAAAAAAAAATTATGGGTAGTGGTTAAGAAAGTTGGTTCAGAAGCTGGCTATGGTGGTGCAGGCCTTTAATTCCAGCACTAGGGAGGCAGACGATTATGGATGTCTGTGAGTTTGAGGCCAGCCTGGTCTACAAAATGGGTTCCAGGACAGCCAGGTGTGTTACACAGAGAAATCCTGTCTCAGAAAAAAAAAATGTAGGTTCAGTGTGTCACTGTAGGTATTTTTTGAACATTAAACATTTTTTTGTTGTATGTTTGTGTTTTGACTGCATATATAACTGGGTCCCATGTGCATGCCCTTGGAGGCCAGAAGAGAGTGTTGATCCCCTAGTCCTGTAGTTACAGAGAGTTGGGAACTGTCATGTGGGTGCTGGGAATCAAACCTGGGACATCTGCTGCAATGGAAAATGCTCCTAACCACCGAGCCATCTTCCCAGTCCCTCAGTACATGTCTGGCTACTTGTTAGACATGTTCCTCTACAAAAGTTATTTAATATCTCAGTGCCTTGTTTTCTTTGGCTATAAAAGAAAGAAATGGGAATGATCCCACCACTTCCCTCTCACAGTAGCTGGGGGAATCACAGGAGACAGTGACAGTGTCTAGCAGTCAGCAGCTGCTCCCTCAGTGCTGGTGTTTGGCATGGTGACCTGCACTGGGTGCTCTTTAGCATACTTAGTAAACATTTGGCTAATGGGATTATTCAGAAGTGCCTTTAAGCAGAAAGGCTGGGGTTTCATTGGATCAAAGAGCAGTATATAACAGATGGAGAAGGTGGAGTGGCACACTTAGGTTGAAGAGAGGGAGGACAGGAGGAAGTCCCCCTCCCACTGCAATAGAGCTTGGTGATCCTTCAGCTGCCTTCAGAGCGCTCATTAGCTTAGGAAGTCTATCCTGGGGTTCTAGACCCGAATCTTGTCACCTTGTTTCTGATCTGAGTTCTCTTTGTGAATTTTCTCCTATTGAAGGACATGGTGGGCCTATTTCTGGAAATGGGGGAAAGACCACAACCAGCAGTACTGGCTATTCTCTGAGCATATTTTAAACACCACTCAAAGCATGTTTCTGAAAAGTACACAGACCCTTTTCCTAGAGGACCAAGCGTTCCTAGAGGACCATTAGTCTGCACTGGATAGCATACTTGTCTGCTTAAAATGTTTGGCATAGCCTCATGAAGTCCAAGGCTGTAGGCAATGTATCCTAAGAGAGTTCTAGAAATGGAGCCATTGAAGGAGACACAATTTCAAGAGATTTGTTTTCCCCCAAAGAACTATGTAGCCAATCAGGGACCCTGCCCCCTTGACCAGCTTGTCCACAACTAGGACAACTATTTAGAAACTGTCTTACTGGAAACCATTCCATGACTGAGCAATTTATGTTAGAAGCCTGATAAACCTGCAGTGCTTTGTAAATTGGCCTTTCTCTGGGCTACACAGGACTTTTAGAAACTGGTGGCCCTCCAAGAACAGACTTGTGAGTTAGCAATATTTCTCATTTGACCCCAGGACATCACATTCCACCATTCATAAGGAAAAAAAAAACTCCCCCAGAAAATTACCTTAGTGGGGGAAGTGACCTTATCCACAGATTGCTTTTCCCAGAGGTTCCGCTTGCCAGATACATCTCCTGGCCTCAAGTCCTAGTGAAAAGAAAGCAGAAAAAAAAAATGACAGGTGACCATAATTTCTGGCTCGGTCTAAGTAAGCTAACCACCACATCTACCATCCAAAATGGAACAACCACTAGCTGTTACCTGACTTGTGAATAGACCCTGCCTGTTTCCTGAGAATGGGCTGGAAATGCACACAGCATCTGGGACCTTCACTAACAACTCTGGCTACAGACATCCGTGGTGCCTACCCAAAAGGCAGGCTGGAAGTTCAGAGTGCTTCTCAGGCCCACTATGCCTCAGGGAGTGCACTTGGAATCATCTAGCCTAAATTCTCATAGCCCCCATGGTGCTGTGCTGGCTATCATCTCCCTAGCTCATTCACGGTAGCGCTGTATTCATCCCCTAACAATCCCCTTATGCAGGGTCACTGTCTTGGAGCCTTGCAACCTGAAGGAAGACACTAAAACCATCCTGTGTTTCTTGATGGCCAGGTATGTAAGTAGATTAGTAGAACCTTGCCCCACAAAAATAATCGTGTCACAAAAGGTAACCCTAAGAGAAGTGTGCAACTGATGATGTACGTTAAGAACACATGTGAATCCTGGGAAGGAAACAGTGAAATATGACCCATAATAGTTATACAACCTTGGATTCTTGTTTACCACCTCATAACTGATTTCACTTGGAGAAGGATCCAAATTTCTGTTTCCATCTGCTTTTCTTACAGCATTCGCTTATACTAGTACTTGGCACAGGTAGTTTGGAGAAAATGTGTTTTACTCCAAATGTATTTGGAGAAAATAGTACTGCTTACTTTGGCAATGCCTTTTCTCATTAGGAAGGCAAAGCTAGAAACTGTCGTTTTCCATGGATACCAGCTTTGATGAACATATTTCTGACCAGCATCTCAATACTAAACATGCACTGTTAAATAATGCCATGGGAAGATTTGTCATACTCTTATTGAGTTTATGGGTCTGTGGCATGAATCCCTGATATTCTATTAGAAAGCGATACCTATTTAACTTGGAAACATTGGGCGACAAATCATATTTAGAAAGAAAAAAGTTCCACTACATTTGCCAATGTGGGTAAAAGTTGCCAAATCATCTGGAAGACTTAAAAACCTTGGCAACTACAGTAAGGAACAGCTGGCAGAAGCTCTAAAAAGTGGGTATAATCATTTATTTGATTCATACATGACAAATATTTTTCTTTCATATGAGTGTTCCTACCTAAGAAAACGGATTGCATTTCCCTGAACTAGCACTGATGAATCTTCCAAGATCACTTAAAGGGTTTAAATAAGGAAGATATCAACATCCACATTGTAAGTCAGTATTTTCAAGTCAAAGAGGAAATATAAATGAAATTACCTGACCAGACTATATGTTAGAGAAAGACCCACTCTGGGAGAAGAGGGAGAAATGAAGGCAGGAAAGGCGGTCTCCAGTCAGCCAGAGAGGAAAGAATGAAGAAGAGAAGCCAGCCGAGAAAGACATCATTCTTTTTTTAAACAAAAAGAAAGACAAGTTAGCACTTTTTTTGCTACATTACATGCAGTTTAGACACAAAGAATAGACAAACCAGCTAAAACATTCAGACTTGAATTCCAGTTACAAAGTTACACTGAAAGTTTATAAATTCTACTCATAAGTAGCTTGAATGTTCCAGAAAGACACAAGGCAGGACAATGTTTAATTTTAAATATGCTAATTTTCTGGGGAATAGGACAATTTGGAGCACTTGTAATTCTTAGCATTTCTGAAAAGAGGCCATAAGTATTAAGTCTTGGGTGGTTTTTCTTCTGAGTTTTAGAACTCAACATGCTAGCAATAGTCCTGTGAATTACTCCTCTACTTGTAGGGGTTTTAGTATGGATAAAGACTGTTCTGTTGAAATAACTCTCTCTGACTTTGTTCTCATGGCCACAAGAGAAACACCTGCAAACAACAAACCTAAGATTGTTCCTCCACATACCCACGGTGAAAACAAAAAAAACAAAAACAAAAATAGGTTGAGAATAATTGTATCTGGTCCACAAATGAAAGGTACTGTTGGAGTTCTCTTATTGGGTGCTGCTTACAGATAATGCTCTGACACCCTGGGCTTAGGATCAACCTAATCAGAGCCCCAAACGTCAAACTTGGATGTCTTGAAGGACCAAGATACAAACACTAATGTCTGAAGAGGCTGGTGTAAGAAAAGAAAGGACTGGAACCAATACATTCAAGAATGTATGTTTCCATACTTCAAAAATGTGCTCAAGTTATAACTTGAAAAATGACAAAACACAATGGTGTGGGTCAGAACTTAGCTGCAGGCCACCACTGTGACACCTTATGGACTGTACCTAATATCCCGGTTTGACCTGTCTTTGTATCCTACCTTCCTCGGACGTTTTGTCTGATAGTCTACACATCCGCAGGATTCCAGTGACCTTTTCCACACTGAAACTTTACCTCCTTTCTGCCTTGCTGAGTTCTGAGTCATTATCTTTTCCCAGGAGATGGCCACATGACTAGCTGTAATTTGACATGGTGGGTGCTAGGTCTAAAATATAGGAGGAAATACTACCAGAGGAATGTGTGCAAAGCCTAAAAAGCTTAGTGAGTATAACCAAACTAGTATTTTATTTTCTTACTTCTAATCTGGTCCTTATTTGAAGCCACACCAATCCACCAAACCCAGTGGGAAGAAGGTGATCACTAAAATCTGTACAAACTGTCATATTATTTCCTTCTTTGTTTTCCTAGGTAAGTCTACAAGTCACTTACTGTAAAGCAGCCACTGATTTTGTAAGTCCCCAGGATTACTTTTCTGTCCTGTCACTTTTTAGGAGGCCATCATTAACCCCAGGAAATGCTACTGTTAATCTTTGGTGTGGGAACCTTAGTACAGTTACATCTGTGGTAATAATAGCATCACTTACATTTAACCATCCCACTAGGATGGCAATATAGAAGATGGGAAGCTAGGCAGGTCAGGTGCTGACAAAAGACTGGAGAGAAAGCACTGGACCAAACACATGAGAAAAACTTGATACAGGAATGAACTAGACCACACATGCTGTAAATATGGGAAGAAATCAGTGATCGTCTCTGTAGAGGTAGGATGCCATACTCAAAGAGAAAGCCTTTATCTTTGTGTCCTTCCCTTTTCTTTTATGAGAGTATCTCAAGGGGAGTATGTGTCCATGAGATTCTCAAATTTACAAGCTATAGAAGGGTATTTAGTTTCATTTGTCTATCAAAGGGATCCATAATTCAAAAATCAAAATCTTAGTAATCATAGGTCTAGAACCATAACATTGACAGAAATGACCATAATTTATCTCTATTTAAAAATAATTTATTCTTTTCATGTCGAAATGGCTGCCGGTGAAACCTGAGGAGCCAAAGTCTCATCTGGGGTGTGGTGTCTTGCCTCCCCTTTTTCCTTTTAGTGATCCCTCTCCTTTACCTATTTGGGTGCAGGGGATATTTTTTTCAATGTATAATGTTTGCACAAATGTAAACTGAGTTCACACTGGCATATACCTCTTGTGAAACCTTATGTAAAGACTCTTAGGATATTAACTAAAAAGTTCAAGGTGTTACTGACAAGAAGGGAATGCAAACATTTCCATCTCTCCTTTATAATTTGGGAAGTTCTAGGATTTAGTGACTTTGGAGATTATATGTAGGGCCAACAGATGCAGTGAAATGCTGCAGGGGCTTAACACTTTAAATGTTTGGGATCTGTAGTGTTTTTCTTCTTAAAGAATGAAGGTCATTTTCCACGTCAGCCTGATCTACACAGTGAGTTCCAGGACAGCCAGGGATATGTAGAGAGACCTGATCTCAAAACACACACACACACACACACACACACACACACATACACACACACACAAATAAATAACAAATAAATACAATGAATGTGGGTTATTGCAATTCACTTCCTACTCCCATGATACCAATAAAGCTGCAGAGCCAGCTTAGCAGAGAAGGCTGAATGGGGACTGTGAATGGTTTATTTATTCTAGTAACAAGTGTAAGGCAACTATATATATTCAACGAGAGAGTTAAAGGCATATTTGTATAACTAGCTTACACTTAGTCAACAAATAAGAAGGCTTTAGTGGTCTAAAATAATATTCATAGTCAGTTTTTGTAGTTTTCATTTTTACTGGTTATGGTGTGTGTCATGGGGGTGGGAGGAGTATTCCAATTTTCTAGTTTCAATTTTTTTATGGTTTTCGTTTGCAGGTGTTGATGACATTATTCAATTTATATTTTATGTATAATAGCAATTATTTCAATAGCTACTCAATAGCTATTTTTGCATTGTTACAGAAATTAGGTAAGATTAGATAACATGGCCTCAAAACAGTCAAAATACACAATCTTTTGGGAATAAGTTTTGGAATACTTGTAATAAAGAATTAGCCAGATTAACATGGCATTTTGATTTCAAATTCCTGTGCGTGATTTATAGAATGGAAGGCAAATAAACACATGATTCAATAAATGAAGAAAAAAGAGGCATGCAGAGAGTCTTAATTGAACTGCCTCAGCATTGTGCATCATTGCAAAGTTCCCCTCTCACTCAGGCAGAGGCCAGGCTCCATCTTACCCTGAATTGTGCTGCATCTGCTCAGGCTGCTCTATATCTGCACACTCATCAGTGGGTATGTCACTCAGCAGCGGCAGCAGAGGACAGGAAAGCCAGGCAGGTGAGCCAACTGCTCTTTTATGCTCCTGTGTAAGTTGTGAGATCCAAGAACCTCAGAAAAGCTACTTACAGAAGGCTTTGGAGCAGGTGATTTGTTGCCATCTGGTGATTTAGTTAGCCATTCATTGATGCGGCTGGAGACTCCCACCTTCAGGCCAGCGGTTTCCTGCAAAAAGCCAGTCATCCGTAACACTAAAGAACAAAGTACATTTGCCCAGGAATTCTTCTGAGCAACATCAAGGTATCCTTAAATCTGCAGTGGGTGATCTTGATTGCCAACCTGACTGAAGGATTAGTGTGAGATGAGGGAAGACACTCACTGCCCCGTCCCCAGAGTAGGCAGCACCTCCTGGTGGTGAGCAGGTATGAAGACGGCTGTGTGCTGTGTGTCTCTGGCTGTTTCAGTCTGGTGGTTTCTGTAGCCAGCTTTCCTTTGTTGATGTAAGAACCCAGTTTTTTCACCCTTCCAATGTGGACTAAAGCCCAGGAGCTCTCCAGGCATCCTCTAGGCCTTCATCAGCAGATTGGAACTGCTGAAGCACCCAGTACTGTGCGCTAAAGGACACCTTCAGTGGCTTCTGAGCCTCTCCAGTGTGCAGCCAGCCATTGTTGACCCAGCCTCCACCATGGAAGCCAATTTAATACATTCTTTTTTATAATAATGTATATTGATTGTATTGATTCTGTCCCTTTAGAAAGAATATCAGGGGGCTGCAGAGATGGCTCAGTGGTTAAAAACACTGACTGCTTTTCCAGAGGGCCTGGGTTCAATTCCCAGCACCTACATAGCGGCTCCTAACCATTTGTAACTCCAGTTCCAGAGGATCCTATGCTCTCTAATGACCTCTGTAGGCACCTGGCATGTACATAGTGCATAGACATACCTATAGGCAAAACACCCATACACATAAAATAAAAATAAATCTTTTAAAAAGAAATATCAATTTTTCTCCCATGTCTCCTCATCCCATCCCAACCCTAATGGCTGATAAATAATGCAAGCACTTCATTTAGTGGTCCTTGGGCACAGCTGAGTACACAGGCTTGGCACATGAATAAATACATTCTCTATGAGCTGACTTTGCCTTGGGGGCGCAAATCAAGGTGCAGATTGTAATTCTTTATTGCGTTTGTTGTGAATGAAGGCCATTGCTAATACAAATGGGGGGAAATCACTTTTCAAAGCGATTGGTGAAAGCCACACTCATACCTTATTTGGTGTCCCTGAGGCAGAGGGGGATGAAAACACATTCCCTTTCTCCCACATGCTCTTGATACTGCGGACGCCTTCGGCCGGAACAGGAAGATCTGATGCTGCAGGCTTAGTAGGTTTTGAAGTTTTTGTTCCCTGAAGTGGATAAATAAGTTTTAAGACAGCATTGAAAAGTTTGCCCTCATGAAATTACCGTGAGCTGGTCTTCCTCAACACAATCAACTAAAAAATATCATGGTGTAAACTTCCATTGAAAGGGATTCATAATTTGTGTTGTACAACTCTATTCTGATAATGCGATTTTCCACACAAACGTCAGAGCTGGAGCAGAGGCTCTTTCAGAAAGGAAATATGCTTTTTAGGGCTACATATATCATTAGGGTGACAGAGGACTCCATTTCTTCAGCAGATTTTTTTTAATGTGCATGCATGTTCTTGTGTATTGTGTGCATGTGTGTGTAGGCCAGAGGAGTGTGTGTGTGTGAGAGAGAAAGAGAGAGGGGGGCAAAGCTCAATCTCAGGTACTTTCCTTAGGAGTCATCCACCTTCTTTTTGAGGGGAGGGGTTGTTCATGAATTCATCTAGGCTGTCTGGCCAGTGTCCCCCAGGAATCTCCTTGTCTCTGCCTCCTCAGCACTGGATTACAATGTGTGCAGCCACACCTGGCTTCTTTATATGGGTCTTAGGGGTCAAATGTAGGCTGTTTTTGCTTGTGCAGTGGCTGACAAAGCTAGTTCCCAAGCCTCTCCAGGAGGTAGGCACTTGTTCTGTCTTGTTTTTAAACATGTATGCATGTATGCTATGCATGCGTGTGCATGTGTAGGAGTGTGAGTGTGTGTTTGTGTGTGTGTGTGTGTGTGTGTGTGTGTGTGCACGTGGAAACCAGGGGTTGATGTGCAGTGCCTTCCTTGATTGCTGCAAACAAAATGTGATGTACTTGTGACTATTTACGATGCTAATCCATCAGTCTATTCATTAGCAACCAGAGAGAAGACTTAGTGATTTAGAACACTTGCTGTTCTTTCGGAGGACCCAGATTTAGTTCCCAGCATCCACACAACTATAACTCCAGTTCCGGGGTGCACATACATACATGTGTTCAAAACATTCATACACACACAATAAAGAAAATCCATTCATTGAATCCATTCTCTTCAAAGAAAATTAACACTCTGTTAATCTACTCAAACGTCTCTAACACATCTTTCTTACTGTGTTACTGTCTCCATAGCTATTTCCTAGTTGTGGAGATCATTGCTAATACTGTAATATTATCAGGGTGCCAGACTCCTCCATCGCCCTGAGTGCTTCTGTGAGCACATTTGTGACCCCAGCCTGCTTCTGTTGTACAGGTGCGTGACCAGGAAACAGCACTCACCTCAATGGCATTGGTATACTGCTCCAGCCTGCTGTCAATCTTGGAGACTACCGCTGCTTGATGAGTAGATTTGACGCCACTGCCAAAAAAACCCACCGATGTGAGAATATGAGACAAAAGACATCTCTCCATATGCACAACAGCTGATGAGTCTCAACTGATTAGTCAATTATATTTACCTTTTCTGCACAGACTTATTCAGAAATTCGGCTCGTTCCTCTATCTAGAAATAGAAAAAGAAAAGAAGAAGCCTTGTGACTATGCTGAGTAAACAGTATATGCAAAGCCCTAACCCTGGGAAGCTCTGAAGGCTGACAGACTGAGACATGACTAAACGGAGACTGCACCTTCTGAGCACCCGTGGAAGGCAAGGCACATGGACCTTTCTGGGTAGAAAGGCACAAGTGTCTCCTTTGGTCCTGCTTTATGGCCTGTAGCTGACTCACAGTGCCCTTCAACCACACCACTATCATTCCTGAACCTGGCAAAAAGAAACACCACAGATCATGTGCAGGCACTACAGGGATATGCACAGCAGCCCCGATGGGGAGAAAACTAGGAATACTATGTCTGACACTGGGGAAGGAGAAGTAGGATTGGAAGAAGATAAAGAATGCAGAGAGAGCCGCTGGGGGGAGCGGGGTGACACTAAGTTTTGGAAGCAAGGAACAGCCAGTAAGATGGCCTTACATAATACAGACCAATGACAAATTAATTATTCATAGTCTCAAATCTATACCTCCTGTGATGTCATTTAGAATGGGTTCTTTTGAAGGGAATTGTGTCAGGAGGGTGGAGTCCTCATGAATGGCATTAGTGCTCTGATGGAAAAGACAAGAAAGCTTATTGTCTCATTCTCTGTCACACGAGGAGACAGCAATAACATGCCCATTTGTGGAGGAGGATTTGGAAACCCCTTTCCAGAATCAGCAAGGCTGGCATACTGATGACCTTGTACTTCCCAGTCTTCAACTCTGTGGGAAGCAGATGTTTACTTGGTTTAGCCGCTGGGGTTTGTTGTTGTTGATGTTTTGAGACAAGGTCTTACTGTGTAGTGTAGGCTGTCCTTGAATTCCTGGCCCTCTTGCCTCAGTATCTTAGTGCTGGACTGACAGGCATGTGTCATCACACCTGGCAGTGATAACTACTCAGTCTATAGTAATCTGTTATATTCATCCAAATTGGTTGAGAGAAGGGAGCGCTGGAGTCTGTGGACCTAGGACAGGTCACTATGGTAGATTCCTGGACAGGGTAGGAGATGGAACGAACCTTGCAGCACGTGTGCTCCTTGGCAGACTAAGAGAACACAAGGTCCTTAAGGAGAATGCACACTTAGTAGATTAGGAGAACATAAATAAAACATTTAAATGTCAGTGATAGTTACCATGTTAAAGATGGGAACATGATACCACATCTATAAGGCAAAGTGGGGGGGGGTGGAGAAGGCTGTTCAGAAGTTTTGATATTTGAACTGAGTTTTGTAGTTTACAATTTGGGGAAAGCATCCATGAGCTAGAGGGGAACTTTTTTTTTTTTTTTAAACAAGTCAAATACTTAACAGAGACTTGAGGGTACGGAGGGTGGTGGGAAGTACAGTGCAGAGCTGAGACTTGGTTTGTGTGTGTGGCTCTGCCAGTGTCTTACTGACTTGGGCCATCCTGCTCACCTTGGTTGTCACATGAACTCAAGACACAGACCCTGTCACATTCCTGTTCTTCCTGAATAGTTAATCCAGCTTGACTTCATTTTCTAGTTTTGTTAGGACTCACCCTCCACTTACTGACTCTTGCTGGGAAATGCCTTAACCATCACTTTGTGTGATAAATAATCACTTTGTGTGGAGTTTATGAATTAAACACTCTGCACAATGTTTAAGGAATTTAAAGAGTGAAGTTGGTACCCCTGATGACCAGGAGTTAGCAGTACTGTCTCAGTAGACTTAGTGAAGAGATAATACTGCCAATTTTAGATATTAGTTTGCGTATTTTCTTTACTTCACACTCTACTTCTCTATTAAACTGTGTAAACTCAAACACAAACAATATCAAAGACCTTTAGATTTCATCTACTTAAAATTTATTCTTTGGGTATGTTATCATTCACTGCTACCATAATCAAGCAATGAGAACTCATGTTTGGAGTTTCCCATATAGTGGAAATCATAAGTAATAGATAAAATATACCATTTCGTACTATTGTGAGGTCCAAAATGAAATGTTACCCTCTCATTGGCATTATACACAGGTGGTAACCTGTGTGTTTGAATGATTATAACCGAAGCTTCTGTCTGGAGTGCATCGATAGCTATAGGAATTCCATTATAAGATAAGCTGAGTTTAGGAAAATCCCAGGGAGTTCTTTAAGAAACACCAGTGAGACAAGTGGCACATAGTGTATTCCTAAATGCTCATCTCTATTGTGTAGAAATTAAAAATGTTTCTATGCATTGACTTTAAATGACTGCTGGCACGTGCAGTTCCATGAGAGAGAAGACAGAAAGGGGCTTCCCAGGAAGGCCAGAGGAGAAGAATGTGGATGAAGGATAGACATGAGAAATGAGGAAGCTGAGGGGCTTGGTAGAAAGGTGATGACTAAAGAGCATTGCTAGGAGGAAGTCCAGTTTCTCCAGAAATCAGAGTAGATAGGATCTGGCAGTCTCAGTGACGACTATGCTCCTGTTATCAGGACTGTTCAAGGAAGGGTCAACTTGGGAGAGATTTTAAGGAAGGAAGAGAGAACATTGTTTTCTTTGATTATTTGTTGATCCAGGAACAAAAGAGCAGATCTGGGGACAGACTGCACTGTGTGGCTGCTCAGAGATAACCAGAGTGGAGGGAGGTTTCTTCTTGGTTGATTGCTTTTGTTGTTCCTTTTGTTTTTTGTCTTTCTGCTCTCATTTCCATACCAATGATTCTCAAGCCATGGTCAAGACTGTGTTTGCCATGAAGGTCCCAAACAATCAAAGGAAAACATGTTTTATTGTTTTGTGTTTGTTTTTTTAGTAGGGGTTTTACTCTGTACCTCAGGTTGGCTTGGAACTCACTAGGTCCAGGCTGGCCTTGAACTGATGCCCTTGTGTTAGCCTCCCAGTGCTGCAATCATAAGAGTGTGTTACTACAACCAGCCTTAAGCACTTTGTTTTTTTAGATCTATTTTTTTTAAGTTTTATATGTATGTGTGTTTTGCAGGTGATGTATGTCTGCAGGCATTGCCCATGGAGACCAAAAAAGGTGTTAGGTCCTCTGGAACTGGAGTTACAGATGCTTTCTAGCTGTTGAATGGGTGCTGGGACCTGAACCCAGGTCCTCTACAAGATCAACATGCGTTCTTAACTCCTGGCCATCTCTCCAGCCCCTACTTTTAACAAAAATTTATATTATTAGGAGGTTGAAAAAAAACTATTTCATGACATAAAATAATTATATGAATTTCAAATGTTAGTGTTCAGAGATGGAACTGGCCTGCTTATTGTGCTGTGCTCTGAGCACTCACTGGCTTGGATGCTCCCTTTGGGAGTCCTGAGGCAGACGACTGCATTCCCATCAAGGGCAGCAACTGTACTCTGCACTTTTCTTTCTCACAGTGTGCAGCGTACTGCTAGAAATGTCAAACATTTAAAAACAAATTCCCACTCTGCCTTAGATTGGTGTTCTGGTAAGTTTTACATTAACTTGACACAAGATACAGTCACCTGGGAGGACTGCGGAGGGAACCTCAGTCGAGAAAATGCCTCCATAAGATTGGGCTGCAGGCAGCCTGTAGAACATTTTCCTCTCTAGTGGTTGGTGTGGGAGGGTCCAGCCCATGGTAGGTGGGGCCATCCCTGGGCTGGTGGTTCTGGTTTCTATAAGAAAGCAAACTGACTGGGCGTTGGTGGCGCATGCCTTCAATCCCAGCACTCGGGAGGCAGAGGCAGGGGGATCTCTGTGAGTTCGAGGTCAGCCTGGTCTCCAGAGCGAGTGCCAGGATAGGCTCCAAAGCTACACAGAAAAACCCAGTCTCAAAAAACCAAGAGTGAACCATGAGGAGCAAGCCAGTAAGCAGTCCTCCTCCATGTCTTCTGCATCAGCTCCTGCCTGCAGGTTCCTGTGCTGTTTGAGTTCCTTCCCTGACTTTCTTCTGTGATGAACAATGGCATGGAAGTGTAAGCTAAATGGATTTTTGTTAAGCAAAAATCTTAGATTTTCCCATAGCAGACCTGAGATGAGTGTTCAAGTATAAAAGTCACGGATTTCCTTGCAACAAGGATACATTCTGAGAAACACGTTGTCTGTTGGATGATCTCATTTTGTGAGCATCATGCTTTGCTCATACTCCTAGAAACTAAGATACCTACATTGTCATTATGTACCAGTAATGTGCATGTGGTCTGTGATTGACCAAATCGATATTACCATATTGCAATGGTACTTTGGGAAGTATTAGAACTGTAACCAAGCTGGGCATTGTGGTACATGCCTTTAATTCCAGCATTTAGGGGGCAGAGGCATGTGGGTTTCTGTGAATTTGAGACCAGCCTGGTCTACATAGCAAGTTCTAGGATAGCCAGGGCCACATAGTGAGACACTGTTTCCAAACAAACAAACCTGTGACTAGTATCCACATCATTATTAAAAACTAAGTGAAATAATTTGAATTCTGAGTGTAGCTGAAAAAGCTCATTAAAGATGTGTGTTCTAGAAGCATGAGGACCTTAGTTCAAACCTTGGGTCCCAATGTAAAAACCCAACTGAGGTTGTAAATGCTTGTAATTAAAGCTCTGGGAACCTGGAGACAGGCAGTATCCAGGCTAAGAGGAGAACCTGACTCAATAAATAAATAAATAAATAAATATAAATAAAGGTGGGTGGCTTCTGAGGAACAACACTTGAGGTTGACCTTGGCCTCTACACACATGCGTGCCCTCCACATACACATAAAAAACATCTGACAAATAGGTGACTGGCTTTTGGTCACTTTCAAACACCATGAACATGGAGCCATGGAAGCCTAGTTGAGACTTGACACTGGCTTTGCCCATTGATGGTTGTAGTCTAGTTACGCTAATGGTAGATGAAGACAGCACACAAATGTTAAAGCTTCTCCAAGGCCTCGCTTACTCATCTGCAAACATTTATCAAATACCTTCAATGCATAAGGCACTGTACTGGGTGTTCAAATGAAAAGAGAGACTTGCTAACAAATGACTGAGTCTGCTGTCTTTCCCCCACATCTCAACCACCCTGTGGTCTCCCTGACTTCAGCTCTTTTTGGCTCCTTCTCTTTTCTCTGGACAAGAACTTATGTCCTAAGAGTTAGGAGTTCTGTCCCATGAAGGCAGTAGTAAGACATAACACTCTGGGAAAAGGACCCTATCCAAGTTGTCTCTCATCTCCATAGTAACAGCTTTGCAATTTGCACCCACACTAATCCCAGCTATTTTGCTTTTAGTAATCACGAAATTAACAAAAAGCAGCGGAGTCAGTGATCAAATTTTGGTTTGTAGCCCTCTAAAATTCATATGATGCTATCCAATCCCCAATATGCCATATAAGAGGTGGGGCCTTAAGGTAGACTCCTCATGAACGGGATTAGTGCACTTCTTAAAGAGGCCAGAGGGAGCTTGCCTACCCCTGCTTTTCCCTTCTGCCATACAAGAACAGCAAGAAAGTGTTGTCTACGAAGAACCAGATACTGAATTGTTAGTGCCTTGATCTTGGATTTTCAGCCTCTAAATCTGTGGGCAATACATTTCTGTTACTTATAAGTTACCAGGTCAAAGATATTTGGTAGTAGCCTGAACAGATTAACACAGGACAGCAAAGAGTTAAATGAAGCGAAGAAAGTCTTGTATGATCAAAAACAAAGGGGCTCCAAACACATTTCTTTGATCCTGGAAGAGAAGTTTAACATTCTGGGACAAAAATTACCTTGAGAGATGAGCCTTTAGGAGTGAAACACTTGAACGGCTTCTTGTCCTCAGACAAGCCGTCTTCTGGCATCTTCTGACGCTTCTCAGCAGCTTCTGCCCTTCTCTTTTCAATCTCTTCCTTTAGCCTTTTCTTCTCTTCCTGTGACAGACAGAGCAAAGAGTAAGCACATCAAAATCTATTCCCAGTGCTGTGGGCGCAAGGCAGTCCTTACCTCTTCTCTAGCTTTTCGATCGGCCTCCTCCTGCTTCCTCCTCTGCTCCTCTTCCTCCAGGACCTTCCTTCTCTCTTCCCTCTTTTTCTTCAGCTCTTCCAGCTCCAAGGCTGCCTCCTGTTGCTTTTGTTTGAGTTTTTCGAACTCTTCGCTCTCAGTCTCCCCGCGGCGCCGGCGCAGTTCCTCCAGCCTCTTGCCAGCTTCCACTTGAGGGGCACCTTCAGCTTCCTTGTCCCCACCGGCCCGGCATCCTGGGCGGCTGGGGCTGAGGAAGGAGGAAAGGCAAGTCGGTTACCTGGTTCTGTCTTGCAGCTCCCATTGGAAGGAGGGTGATGTCTGTCTGCAGGTACTATACCCGACCCTCACACTAGCCCTGGGGTTGGTTGGGGGATCTACATGAAATATAAGGACTTCATGAGTGCCTCTACTAGGGCAAAGTAAAAACGGTGCACCTAATGTGGGGAAATGCCCCATCCCTGTGTAATGCTGAAAATAATAATAATATTGTTTATGATCCAGGCATACAACTTGGCACATAGTCAAAAGACTTGGAAGCAAGGTCTTGAGACGGTAGAACACCTACATTCATAACAACATTATCCACAGGAGCCAGGAGGTAGAAGCAACCTGAGTCCATTGTGGGATGAACAGGTCAGCATAATGAGGTATATCCACCATGGAATACGACTCAGCCTTCAAAAGAAACACCAACACATGCTACAATGTGGATGAACTTGAAGCCATTATGCTAAACGAGGCAAGTTAGTTATAAAATGACCTCAAAATTCTACTTGAATGAGGAATCTAATATCAAATCCACAGAAACAAAAGAAATGGTGGTTCTCTGGGGCATAGGAAGTGGCCAAGGAGTAGCTGTGTGGGAGTGTGGAGTCTTAGGTCCCCGGATGAACTGATTACGGAGTTCTGTTGCAGGGCATTCTGTTGAGGATGCAGGTCAACACTACAGAACTCCAGTTTGTTTGTTTGGTTTTTGAGACAGGATCTCTCTAATGCTGGCCTCTAGCTCAAGCTCATACTCTCTCTACCTCAGCATCCTAAATGCTGGGATTATGGGTGTTTACCACTATTTGTGCCCTATTGCTTCTTGGTGGAGTTAAACCCAGTAAGGTAAATCCATTTTGATAGAGATTCTGGCAATTTTTTTCTTATCCAAAATGTATATTTCTACCCTCTCTGACCCCAACACAACTGGAGTATCCTTTGTCAGGATTTAAAACTCTAAATTATTACAGATGTGGGGTGATTAGGGTGGGTTACTGAAGATCAGAGGGGTCATTCATTGTATCTTATAAGTGTTTTCAAATATATTATCTCCTTTAATAGTCATAATAACTGGGGAGATGTTGGTATTCATAAAACTCCTATTTTATGAATAAGGCAAGACAGAATAAACATTTTGCCTAAACTGTAGAAAATAGTTGAGTTCTGGGGAGATGACTAAGTCAATAAAGTGTTTATCATACAAACATAAGGACCTGAGTTCAATCTCCAACGCCCATGTGCAAAAAAGGCTGAGTGTGTTGAGAAGAGGAGATAGGCAGCCAGCCCTGCCTACTCCAGACCAGTGAGAGACCTTGGCTCAAAAGCAAGAGGGATGGACAATGGGAGCAACAAAGTATACTCTGTCTTCACTACAGAAGCCACACAGCTGGATCCTCCCAGAACTAGACCAGACGAGAATGTAGTGATGTTCCTGAAGGCCCTAATACAGGGAGTCTTTAACTGAGAGAATGGCTTCTATTTAAAACTTATTAACACACAGTGAGGTCGTTACTAACTAGACCCAAACACAGGAATCCCACACCTCACACCTTTGTCTCAGGAACAATGAATCACACTGTTTAACATTTATCCCGTGTAATGGATGGCACAATGCTTCCAGCTATGGAGCAAGAGAATGAATGGAACAAAGAGTGGTTGAAAACAGCCAATGCACAATACCCATCTTATTTTATACACCGCATGCTTGTGAACACAGGGGTGTTCACTATTCAGTAAATTGCTTTCAACATTTTAAAACATGAAAGAGAAAACAGCGAAGTGCACTGTGTAGCAGGAAAGACAGCACCATGTTTTGTAACAACTTATTTTAGCTATAAAATGTATGTTTGGGAAGGGGTATGATATAAAATTTGTTTGTTACTATGGGCTGAGGTTGTAAAGTATAACAGGTTCTTGATGGTTAAAGATGAACTCTCATTTTTGAACTTAAACAAGGTTAAAGGGCTTCTTATAACCTTACACCGCTCTTTCAGTATTCCAGCATCACAAGCCTGTGACTCCTTGCTCAGTGACAGTGAGTTTTGGAAACTAATTGACTCTCTCTTGGATCATCTTGTGGTGTGGCTGAGAAGATGGGCCTACGGATCCACTAGGTGTCGCTCTGTCGTCGTGTGATCAAACTGTTGGTGGAGAGGCTGCGGTCCAACAGTCATCATGCAGAGCAGATCACTAAGTGCAGGCTTAGTTACTGGCATAGGAAGTTAGCTCTGCCGCACTGCCATGCATAGTGCAATTTAAACTATACATTTCTGATTACCTTCATTTATATGTATATTGTATGATTCTGTGCGTGTGTCTCTCTTGAGTATTACAGACATAGAAAAATACCCGGAATAAATGTTGCTGGTGGCTGAATTAAAACCTTAAAAATGAAGAATCAAGTCAACTTTCATCAAAATGAGAGTAAGACGTTGGATATATTGTGTCTGCCTAAACATGCCGGTAGGCTTGTAGCACCAGGGTGGTATACAGAACTACCTTCCAGAAAGTTCTGTACTGTCTTTGGCTTTTTAAGGTTTAAGGCAAATCAAATACCAGGATTTTGCCCACAAACACAGTTTGCTTTTAGCTCAACTGGTAAATAAGCATCTAGCTAGAGGCTCTTACTATATTACTCACCATCTAAGTAACTGGAGTACATCATTCTCTACTTGTAAGGGTAGCAACAGACACTGACAAAAATTATATATATATATATATATATATATATATTCCCTAAAATGGCCAAATGAAGGAAAATTTACATAGAGGGCTCTTAAAGTGCTATGGTAAAGATCTGTGATTTGGTTTAACCTAATATGCCCCAAGTTTTGGGGCCACAGAATAATCTGAAACACTTACTTGCAACCTTTACAAAAATGAACTCTTAAAAATGGTACTGAGAAAGGTTTGTAGAAAGTTGTCTGGACCATCTAAAGCATGAGTTAATAATATTAATCCCAGACATAATATTTCTCAATACACTGATACCACATGAGCATATCATCGAAAATGGACACTAAACGGTATATGAAGAAACAGAAGAGGATTAAGCTTCAGTTGAGCAATGACTGCTGGTTTCCTATTGGTGACAGGGAGACAGGACCTGCTGACTATGTATCTTTAAGACAATGGAAAGAATGTTTGGTTAGGTCCTTTCTATCTGGAGGTGCAGGACAAGGAGACCGAGTTTCCCTCCCACACATGGGAAGACAGCCTCCCTCCCACACATGGGAAGACAGCAACTGTTAAATAGTCACTTACCTGAAAGCATTCTCAGTTTGTTTAAGTTTGTGAGTCATGAATTCTCCATTCTGCGCCTTCACTTCTGTAAATCCTTTCTTTCGATCCAAGAAGCTCTTGACTTCTTCTTTGGGTTCTTTGTCCTTTTGAATCTTCTCATCTTTGATCTAACCAAGGATACATATTAAGAAGATAGATCACTATAAACGTCTTATTAGGTTTTGGTTGGTTATTACCAAGACCCCAACTTCTTCTAAAGGAGTCTTTAGACTTGGTGTAGAGCAACCATCCAGAACATGAGGTAGAAATGAAACAAGAACATTATTAGAGAGTAACAATGGTTCTTTGGTCTGTGAGCCAAAACTTGAACCTTAATTTTAGGAAGTCAAGATCCATCACTGATCTCACTGTTTTTGTTTTTGTTTTTGTTTTTGTTTTTGTTTTTATCTGGGGGAGCAGTATTGCTGTTATTTTTGAAAACTTCTATCAAGTTCTAGGAATTCCACCCAAGAGTAGTTGCTTGCACTTTCCACTAAGAAGAACAATTACAGTTGTGGTTTTGATGGAAGAGTGGCCATGTAGTTTGGCCAAATTTCTTCTTGGCTAAAGGAAGCATCTTTGATAAGGGTCTACCTAATAGGGAGGAAACAAGGGAAAAGCCAGCAGGTGATGCAGATTCGCCAAAACTGGGCCTATGATCCAGGTGTTTCAGTCAATTGAGTAAGGGGTTTCAGGGAGGCGACTCGTAACCTACCATTAGGGGAAGGACTTAAAATCATGGTTGAAGCCACATAAACAAACAGTTCTAGGGTGAACATTGATTTCCACTGGTAGGAAAGATTTAGACTTCCAGAAGTGGGTTTGTGATGGTCATGTAACACAGAGGGAAGGGATATGTGGAGAGCAATTGGGAGCTTTAGTATTTTTGTGGGGGTTGTGTTATGAATTCCTCATGGTAGATGAGGTAGATCATTTCAAGGTGGATTTTGGGGTGGGAAAGAGTTCAAATTATTATCTCACCCATTCTTAAAGCGTGAGCAGGAGAGAATGACTTCCATTGTTTTTTTTTTTTTTTTAAACAGTGGTTAAGAACTAGTGCGTTGTAGAAACACTTGGAGGAGAGAAGAAAGACCATAAGAACATAGGACTTCTAGGCCGTCTAGAACGTTCTCCCTTTACCTGACCACTGGGTGCTTTCCAGCGATTCTCTGACAGCTGCTGAACATTTACCCCTAAAAGGCATGTTTTACAAGGTAAAACATGGTGTTATGGATTACCTTTTTAGTCCTTTGCCTAATGATCTTCCTTAAATGGTATTAAATCACCATGGATGGTCTATTCGTTGCCACTGCTCTAGGTAAGATTTTGATTTTCCTCCAAGGTGGGGCATATTTTGGGTGTCCCTTGGGGATGCTAAAGAGAGTATTGTAATGTTGCTGCTAGGTCCTCGCTGGGACATCTGTCTGCAACTAAGGAGAGTGTTTGATTCTAGAGCTGTTTGCCACACAGCTTCTCTGGGAAGCTCATCAAGACATAGCTAGATGAAATGATCCCTTCCCAAATCCCATCTTGTTATTGCCCGCTTGGCCCCTGACTGAGTCTGAGCAAGGAGAGAGAAACTCAAGGCCCGTGTAACAGTGTTATCATGGCTGCTTGATAGCTGCCCCTGCCCCCTAGAACATATCAGTATTCACTGAATAGGTAGAAAGAGACAGAGTATAGTTTCATTTTGACCTGTCACTGTTGGACAGTCCACACCCTGGTTAATATGTATCTGGGAATATAGATACAGAGGTGAAGGGTGTTCTTTCCAGGGTACCTATGGGATGAATTTTGAATCAAATCTCATGGCTTATGGGGGCAACAGCATAGGTAAATTTCTCTTAACTCATTTATTCTATTTTGCAATCAGAAATACTTGCATTTCCCCAAAATGTATTATCAGATTTCCTGAAAAGAGAAAAACAACCTTCAAATAGGTTTGTAAAAGAATAGATGTCTACCAGAAGAATGGCCTCCCGCCCTACTTCAGGCTATGCCTCTGTTGGGGAGGGTTGTGGTGGGTGGTCTACTCATATTCTCAGTGGGAAACTTGCTTAGAAACATTCTTAATCTAATAATGATGACTTGGGTTTGACTGAAAATTATTTTCTCCTGAGAAATGAATAAAATGACTCTACAGGATCTTAAATTTTTAGTTTAAAGAATACAATGGATTAGATTCATGGCAAGACCACAGCCTTGTGAACCCCTGGGAAAAAGAACTAGATCTTTTAGGTTGGAATGTTACCACAGAAAGAGATCACTGCTAGAGGGTTACTAGGTGGTCATGAATACTGAAAGAATAAACATGCTTCATCCACAGGTAACATGGGTGTGCTTCTAAGACAGCCTCCAGACACTTGACTAATTGGATGAGACTCCACATAGCTGGGCTACTTAGTGGGAGAAAACATGACCATGTGTAGGAATTTTAGGGTGTGTAGGAATTTAAGAGGCATGGCCTTAGGCTGGAGACAACTCAAAAGCCCAAGGGAACAGGTAGACACATCTGAGCTAGGAGTCTCTCATGCTACTCTGCATGATAAAGTTCCAGAATAGCAAGAGTTGGGTGTCAGTTACAGGCTTTCAGACCACATTTAACACACCTTGGTTAGCTTCAGACCCCTAAATCCTCATTTGGCGGGTGTCCTGTTCTACATGATGGATGTTCTCCTGACTCTTTGACCCTGAAACTGGTTCACAGTCAACTCAGACCTTTGGCAGAGAGCTTAACCCCCCCACTTAGAGTGACAGAATCATTCTTTAACCAAATTCCCAGGTGCATCTACACACTGAGGTTCAGGGCACATGGGCCTGGGTGACAGGAGCGTCAGGTTCATAGTCATACAAGACACTCTGTTAGAAACTGGTTTTTGTTAAAGGCCAAGGGAAAAACCAAACAGATACTGAGTAAAGAAGTAAAAAGAGCTTATAACTGAGGAGGAGAGACAGAAAAGTTAGTTATATCTCAAGGTTGGAGATCATCTGCACCCCAATGGCTGCTACAGAATTCTGAGGCAGTAGAGGGTTTGTTTGTTTGTTTGTGTTTTAAAGCACTGGAGGAGCTCTGGGAAATGTTTTCCCTGAAAGGTTGTGGAATGTTTGTGTTTACTTGTGGTTGGCCTATCCTGCTTATGCTGTGTGGATCCATGCCAGGGAAGGTTTCTGTTTGCTTTTATGTGACCAAAAAAAGAAAAAAAGGAAAAAGAAAAAAAAAAAAAAAAGGAAGGGGTTGTTTAAAATGACTGGATCATGCAAAAATGATTTAAAGTTGCCTACATAACATACCAGTCCAGCCAGCCAGCTGGGAAGGGGGAGCTCTATCCACTCAGTCAGCAGTTTATCTAAACAATGTTAAAATGTTAAAACTGATCTTTTGAAAAGCCTGTTGGGGGGCATTATCTAGACTGGTGCAAAAACGAAGCCAGAAGTTCTGAAAGCCTGTATGTGCTGTGGAGCAAACAGGGAAAGAGATCACGGCAGGTCTGAAGCCAGCCATTCCTTGGAGTGTTTAACTGATACCACGGACTTTGCCTTATCTGAAAAGAGACAGATGGATGACCTGGGATGAGCTCCTCTGACTCAGATACCATACATAGGCATGGGATGCTTTGGGCATTAAAAGTAAAATCGTTATCTTGGCAAAATGAATTAACTTTCACAATACCAGAGGGTGTTTACTACAGCCTTCCTTCCCCACGTTCCATCACTGAGTTGCAAATCTCACACCCTCCTTCCAGGTAGGAAGAAGTTCCAATGTGTTTAGCTGTCTCCTGAGCTGTCCGGTAGAGCTAAATTCAGTTTCCGGGTCACCGGCATTTGCACGCTCTCCCTCCTTCAATTAGCCAGTGCTATGTTCAAACCACAAGTTCTATTAGAAGCAGAGTGGAACAAAAGTCTTAAAATAAGTATAGCATGCTGTATGAATGACAGCGCCTCTCTTCTTATGTGAATCTTATAAAGCCACCGAAGAAAAACCAACCTCCTGCTACTTAATACGGCCATCTATTTTCTACACTTGGAATTTTCTTTACAGTTCTGGATTTTCTTAATGGATGCCCTAGCAGAGAAATGTAGCAAGAATCCATTTGGGCCAGTATCCAATAGCTACAGATCACTTCATCCGTCTCTTGGGCAACATAACTCAGGCATTTCTACCTCTGGTGGTTCTGTTTTCCATATCCAAACTACTTGAACTTACTGGATAACATGGCGATTTGTCATGTCACTTGAGGCTAGCATGGTCAGGATGGTTAGGAGGAGGCGGGGCTTTCTGCATGATACTATATGCTGCATGGCACTGTGCGGCAGCCTCGTTTACCTACCTACAAATGCCCTGGCGCCTGCTCCCCTGTGTGTGTGCCTCAGAAATGCAATGCAGAGTATTTGGCCAAAGTTTTCTTTTGAAAACCATGTATCATCTTCAGCTTGTCAGTTGTCTACTGCGATTTAGGTGGGGGAGGGTGCATTTTCTTGAAAAAGTTAAAGCATTAATCAAAGCCAGCTGGAACTATTTCATGACTGAAATGCAAGCAGGAAGGGCTCATGGAAACCAAAGTCGCACTGTAGGGGCAGGAAGCTGCAAAGACTGGAGGCTGTCTAAGTGTTTGACTATGGTACACATGAAGAAAGACAATTTGTATGAGAATGCTGTACTATTGTCTCCACGCCCTTAGATGCTTTCAATTCCATGTCTTTATCTTTTGTTGAACTACCAATAAGTATCCCTGTGTGTGATGTTTGAGTGTGTATCAATGTGTGTGCACACGTGTGGTGTATGAGTGTGTATGAATGTGTGTGTGTGTGTGTGTGTGTGTGTGTGTGTGTGTGTGTATGCACACACGCACACATGCGCGCGCAAGGCACAGGTTGATTTTGGGTGTTGTCTATGGCTCTCTACCTTAATTTTTGAGACAGGGTCCCTTGCTGAAACTAGACCTCACTGGTTGGCTAGCAAAGCTGTCAATGAATCCCTAGGAATCCCTAGTGATCCCTCTGTCTTTGCTTCACAAAACTGGAATTACAGACACTCTTCTACACCGTGCCCAGCTTTTTATGTGGATGCTGGGAATCTAAACTCAAGTACTCTCTTGCTTGAATGACCTGCACTTTACCCACGGGGCTATGTCTCCAGCCTGATTAGTTATGAGACGCTCTACACTACCACACCATTCAATAACTCATGAGCCATAGACTGAAATCCACAGGATAGGGGTTGCAATTCTAGATTAGATCCAGGATGCTGCTTTGTGAGTGGCTATAGGTCTGATTATTTGTAACAACATTTACCTCTTCCTTTTTGAAGGCAGGCTTGTCATCCTGGGGCTTTTGTCTTTGAGCTTGCCCTTTAGCTCCCCTTTCTTCTTTCTTTTCCTTTTCAAGAATGGTGAAGGTCACTCAGGTAAACAGAAGCCCTTTCTAGCTTGCAAGAGTGAGAGGGTGCTTCGATCACTCCGCGTGGGCTGTGGTCTCTGTGGCTGTCTTAATGCCGTACTTAGACCCCGTGGTGCCAGTGGTACCTGGTGCTGGTGGTTCTATCAGCAGGTGTGATGTGTCCCACCCCGCCCTCCTGTGCCTTCCATTGTGCTCTCTGAACTCTAGCATGACATCGTGTTTCTTGTGTGTGTTTACATCCTGCCCATGATCATCTCAGTTACAACCGAGTGCATGGGCCCTTGGTAAGGAAGCCAGAGTGAAAAACAACTTCAGTGCAACACAGTGACAAAAGATTCACTCTGGGAAGGTGAGCATGCAAGCATTTCTGTCTTCTTTTATAGCTCTTAGAAGGTTTTTTTTTTTTTTTTTTGTTGTTGTTTTGTTTTTTTGTTTTTTTTTCAGCCTTGCAGATAAAGAAAAACAACAACAACAAAAAACTCACAAAACTTTTGTATTTTACACTTCCTTCCCCAACTACTATTCCAATCCTTCCTAGAGCCACATAAACTTGTGCTACCCTCATGGCAAAAAGGAGCAAACGGAATGTTCCTGATTGTACATCAGTTGTTAACTGGCACTGCGCTAGCTGAATGGCTTCCTGCAAGTCTACATTAAACCCAGGCCCACATGATGGCAAGTCAGGCTTTTGAAGGTGCTTTTGTTTTTTGTTGGGGAGGGGTTTCCAACAGTCTCCCCTTCTGCCTGTATTCCAGTTGATTTCAAAGCACTTACATTTTTGTTTTTGCTAATATTAAATGTCTGAACTTAATTCGTTATGTCAACTCACTATGCCTAATTTTATAATTAAAAAAAAATTTACTATGGAACACCAGAGTGAGGTGAGAAGTATAGGCCTCTTGCCTCATGTACACCCAGGAAAGATGTCAGACAGAGGGAGTTCGGATGCAAGTGCAGAAACAAGCTGACACAGCCCCACCACATTCATCATCTTTGGGTTAGTTCATTTTTTTTTTTTTTATAGCCATAACACCCAAGCACAGAGCAACTGATTTCTCTCTGGTTGTCCCACTAATTTGGTTGGTTGCATACTTAGCCATGGTTCGATTGCTTCATGCTTGGGTATTGCTATGGCCTGCAAAAAAAAAGAAATGAACAGCTTGCCAAACGATCAAGCATGTGAGGTGGTGTGCGCTAGGCCTCAGCCCCTGGTTTGGTGTGCATTGCATGTCTCAGGAGTCACAGACATCACACAGTAGGTGCACAGTGCTTACTGTACCTGCTGCTTTGGGACAGCTGGCTGAAGTCTGTCTTCTTGTACTTTCCTTTCTGTTTTCTCAATGCCCTTCTCCCCCTTGTCCTTCACTTCTTGCTTCTCAGCCCTTTGCTCCTCTAGCTGCTTTTTTCGCCTTTGCTCTTCTGTCCTAGCCTTCTCCTCCTCCTCTGCCTTGGCCCTCCGCTGCTCCTCAGCCCTTGCCCGCTCCGCGGCCTCCCTCCTCTCCCTTTCTTCTGCGGCTGCCTTTTGTTCAGCCTCAATTCTTGCCTGCTCCTCGGCTAGCTTTCTGTCTTGTTCAGCTTTGATTCTCTCTCTTTCTTCTGCTTCCAGCCTCAGTCTCTCTGCCTCAGCTCTCTCTCTTTCTTCAGCTTCCACCCTGAGCCTCTCTGCCTCAGCTCTCTCTCTTTCTTCCTCCTCCATCCTTTTTCGATGGGCTATCTGCTCTGTGTCTTGTTCCCTCTCCCCCTCTACTTTGGACTCTTCAGCACTCACTTGCCCATTTTCCAATACCATTACCACGGCTTCCTCTTGGGTTTCTGGTGTTTTCTCTTCTACCATCTCCTCTACCTGATTTTCGCCAAGGCTCCCTCCCTTCAGCTTCTCTTCCTCCTCCTCCTCCTTTTCTTCTTTCTTTTTGTCTTCAGCATCCTGATAGCTGTTCTTCTGGTAGGTCTTGATGACTACTTCTGTTTCCTCCACCTCATATCGTCCTGGGCGACTCTCTCTTTTCTCTTCCTTCTCTGCTGTTTCATTTTCTGCTGTGTCATTTTGCATTCTTCTGCTTGGCCCTGACAGACTGGCATCTGTTACAGTTGGATCAAACTCCTTCTGACGTTCTAGAGCCTCCTGGAGACGTTTTTGACGTCTCTCTTCTCGCCTAGCCAGGCGTTCCAGTAAGGCAGCCTCCTCATCACCTTCTATCTGAGTGTTTGTAGTGGCTGGCTTAGACTCTTCATCAGGGACACTGAATGACAGAAGGAACAACACCAAAGACAGCTTATTGGTTAATCAGTCATCTAGAGCCACCCATAATCAGAACAGATGCCAGCAATATCTAGCTCACAGACCTCTAGATGTTACCATTCTCTGCTTGCTTGTCTGGCTTCCAACTGAGCCTAACCAAGTCTTTTCTCTTGGACTTTCTCAGGTCACTGTGTCTCCTCAACTTGATGTAGGAGCTTTGAGCACCCAACAAAAGTGGAGGAACATCATCATATAAACACTTTGTCCTTTCTCTGTTTTGAAGGATAATTCTACAATCACAGCTTGTACTGTTATGTTCCAGATAACCACAGTGGCCACTTATGCAGAGAAACAACCTTTACTTGGTTGCCTTGCCTCCCCCTCTACCTCCCTCACCTCATCTCACTTACCTACAGCCCTACCATTGTTTCCTGGAATTACCTTGAACTGTGATTTCAGAGCCTGGGTTCCTGTGGATCCCAACTATGGCAAGGGTCAAATCAGAGTAATGAGCGACTTCTGAGAGCATCATAGTTTCATATTTATGACACCTAAGTCATTCCTGATCTGAATTGGTGGGACCCAAGGTATTTAGAGGGGGAAGAGTGTGTATAGTGTGGAGATTCGACACCTATGCCAGCAATCTTCACTTTGGAGACATCTAAGTTTCTTCCACAGTTCAGTCAAGGATGGCATTTCCTACCCTTTGCCCTTCTTTGTACCTAGATAGGACCAGATAATCAATTAAATTTGAGCATAAGTGATGTGTCCAGGCCAAAGCAACTGAACATGCGTATATTCTTTATGTTTGTCAGCTCTGTTGGTATTCAGCAAGCTCTGGATCCGTAGCAGTTGACAGAGTCATGGGGGAAAGAAAGACAAAGGATCCCTGGGGCTCACTGACCAGCCAGTCTAGCTGAACCAGTGAACTCCAGGTTCAGTGAAAAACCCATCTTCAAAAAAAAAAAAAAAAAAAAAGGCAGAGAGCCAGGTGTGGTGGTGCACACCTTTAATCCCAGCATTTGGAAGACAGAGGCAGATTCTGTGAGTTGGAGGCCAGCCTGGTTTACATAGCAAGTTCCAGAACAGCCAGGGATACACAGTGAGACCCTGTCTCAAACAAAATAAAAAATGAAAGTAATAAAATAAAGATAATGTGGAGGGACCTTGTTTAGTACACAAGGACATCCACGGTGCATTAGTACACTGTGTTAAAATCCTGAAATCGCCGTAGCAATAACATCACCATACCTCATCGAGCTGATCTAGCTTCTTTGTGTAGGTTTCCAAGAATAAAGAACTTTTTCTCCTTCTCCCCAATTGGTGAAGACTAGCTAAATCCAATGTTTATTTTGAAAGGAAAAGAAATATAAAATCCAAACTGCAGCATGTCCATCATCTCCTCACTCTTCCAGGGCTCTGGACACTGCCCAGACCAAGGGCGTTGGCCACTCCTGGCTAGAATTACCAGTCATGTGATACCAGAACTGTGACCAGAGCTGGAAGAATACGTCTTGCAATGTTTAGAAACTCCATCAAATTTCATGGTTCATTCTAAACTTGGCTCTTCTGATGTTCGAGTTCACTTGGTTTTGGAAAAATACATTTCAGATTTAACAACAAAACATGGCCAAGGAAATCCTAGATTTGAAGGCTTTTTGGCCTCTGCTGTTGCTGCAGGACACTGTCTCTGTGAACTAGCCACATGTGGGTCACTTGTCCACAGAAAGACAAAGAACTGGGAGCTTAAGGGAAAGGCCTAAGCATGGGGATCAACTGTGTTCCGATGTTTTAAAAAGGTGCCTCAGATTCCAAGGTGCTAGCCTGAGAAAAACATGGTTAAGAAATGGTCAGATTCTCCCGAGCCCCTTCTTTGCCTTTTTAATAGACGATTATCCAGAAATGTTAGGTGCCAGTTAGAGCTGTTTCGCTCCAAGAAAGGGCTTTATACTTGCAAGTAATTAATATGTCTGCAAGAAATCACATGCTCAGACCTGAATATATTTCATTAAAAACCCCTTTTTAAAAAATTCTTTTGATACAGGATCTCATGTAGCCTAGGATAGCCCTGAACTCACTAAAAAAAGGCAAGATTGACCATGAACTCTTTCCTGATCTTCCTGCTTCCAACTTTTGAATGCTGGGATTATAAGCATCCTGCTTAGCAAAAGAATTTGTAAATTTAGGTAGTCTCATAAAATAGCTAATAAAATTAAGGCAGAAATGAAACATAAGTAGAAACAAGACCTATGTATGTGCTGTTGAGTCTGTTGTTGGGTCGAAGCTCAAACCTAGGGCCTTATGTGCTGGACCTAGATAGCACTGTTATCTCAGTCCAGAAGCAAGTTTTCAGAAGCAGAACATACCAATCAGTTGTAACTTGCAAAACCATTGTTGAACATTCACTAGTAACCAGATGCAGGAAACGCCTCAACATGTCATTTTAAAAACTATTTGTGTCCCCTCTCTTCAGCTTGGAAACAGAAAAGGCAACGGGATGGCCATTTTGTCCCTCTTCTGTGAGACTCAGTCAAGAGCACACTGTATCATGTGCTTGCTCTGTGCAAGGCATTGAGTGTTTTCCACGAATTCTCATCTCTCTGCAGCTGAGCAGTCTTCCTCAGAGGGAGCTACGGTTGTGAAGGAACACAGATTGCTAAACTGGGATTCGAAGAGTGTGAGTGAAACCCAGTGATCATACCTGCCCCTTCACTCCTCTTGACAACACTTCCTCCCCAGTTACAAACTCATTACCAAAGACCAAATTTTCTATCTTCTACCTAAGCATTAAATTTCTTACTAAAATTGCCTTGAGCATCAGCATTTGCAAGACCACCCTGGGAAATGAGCTAAAGAGGCCATGACACTTCTCTGAAGATTTTTCTTTTAAAACAGACCAAGTTAATAAAGCTATTAACAGCTTCCTTTTGATATATACTAAATAAAAGAAACAAAGCAAAACCACATAAAGCCTAGGTTACACAGTGAGTTCCAGCTTGGGATAACCAACCAGTCAGAACCCATCTGAACCCAACCAAAACCAACCAACCAAACAATAATGGCTGAATTGGTCTGAAATGGGAATGATTTATTAGCAAATTGTACTCAACAGGGTAGGCTAAGACACATCCAGAGATTTCCCCACTGAGAAGAGGACAGTACCTGTTCTGGGCATGGGTCTCCACCTGGTCTGTCACCTGTCCCAAGGATTCTTCCTCTTGCTTCTGCCGCAGCCTTTCCTGCCGGGCTCGGCGGCGCCGTTCCCTGGCAGCCTCTTCCTCATCATCGTCATTCCTCTGATAGGCGATTCTGCAACATCATAAACACAGGCTTCTGAGCACACTAGCTGACAAGTGTTGTCATCAATGTCCTGGCCACACAGCCTTACATGACTGCTAATGAGCCAGGTTCTAAAAGGATGGTTCACTTTCTCAAGTTTGGAGACCCAACCAATTTGCTTTCAAACTTTTTAGTATTTGAAAAGCACTCATCCAATGACTCAGGGAATAATTTACATGATCAAATAAACCAGAACATCTACACCAAAGCAGGCTGCCTTTGGAGACTGTGGGTTAGCATATTTGGACTTCTGCACTGAGCTGATTAGCACACACAAGATTTAGAAGTGGAAACTGCAAGCATTGAGCCCAAATAATCAAAAGACATATTAGAAAGGACTCAGGACATTGTGTGAACTAGAGCCAGCACTGTCACAAAGATTAGAAAAGAACCCAGTTACCGTTACCATTAAACCAAGACTCTGGTGCTAATGAGTCAAAGTTGTTCACTAAAATTGAGGACACAATATCTTCTTTGGTCAGATTTTGTTATACCAGCGTGTGTGTGTGTGTGTGTGTGTGTGTGTGTGTGTGTGTGTGTGTGTGTGTGTGTGTGATTGACCATTGGTAGGTGGCTTCACAGTAAGTGCGTGTATCAGCCACCTCAAAGGACCCACTAACTTGTTCACTAACACATGTATTAGATCCCACCCCACATATGCTGTGCTGTCTGTGCATGTGTGTGTACGTGTGTTTACATGCACATTTGCCATGTGTACATGTGTGCACATTTATATGGAGCCCCTGAGGCTGATGTTAGGAGTCTTCCTTGATTGCTTTCCACATTATCCATCAAAGCAGGGCCTCTTAGTTGAACCCAGAGTTCACTGCTGGCCAGCTAGCTAACTTGCTGCAGACTGAAATTACAGGTGGGTCACTGTGCCCCCCTACACTTAGGTAGGATCTGAACCGTAGTCCTTCTTTCCATGTGGTGGGAGCTTTAACCACCGAGCAATCTCCCCAAAGCAAGAGATGTCCCTAAGTGGGCACAAACTTTCAATTTCTACATAATTACAAAGACAAATTCATTTTCAAATTAAAGAGAATGAAACATCAGAACCATATACAAACAGCCCATCATATGCAACTGGTGGTAGTTTGTTCATGTTATATTTACAAACCAGGCACATTTAGACTTAGATCTAGGACTTTTATCTGTGTCATCTTTTTACTTCAGCAATACTATGAATATTAAAATGTCTGCAGGCTTGTTGATTTGCGTTTTATTACTTCAAAAAAATATGACTTTACATTTTAAAATCTGCTAGTGTATCAAATGTCAAATGTCAATATAAATAAAGTATGTATGTGTTCCATCTATATAGCTAGTATATATTCTATTAAACTGGCTGGTAATTTGCCACAAATATGGAAGGAAGAGTGGCAATGGTAGAATTAATGTATGATTAGATTAATAGTCAGAAAACTTGGTTTTTAGAACTGATCTCTTGGCAATATTTGGCCCTTTGGTCAACCTGTTGTTGTTTCCTTCTCCCCTAGATTGGCAGTCAAATAGAAATAATGGCTGTTATGATCACAGGAAAGTGTAGAATCTTGTTTGTGGTTAGAAAAGTTCAGCTAAGGAGGGGACCTTGTGAGGAAAGACGAGTTCAATTTTAGATGTGTTGAGTGTGAGGGGACAGCATGACAGGCTACAAACGTTCCCTTCTAATTCAATTATGAAGCCGAGGGCCCTTCCCAGTGGTTTGGCTTTAACCGTCGGATTCTTGGCCTAGTATTTCTTTGGCTTATTTTTCAGTAGCCCTCTCTAACCACAGCAGAGAGAAGAGTACTTTAATAACTGCTTCTCAAGCTAATCAAAGAGGAATTCTTTATTTGGTCTCTCCATCTCTGGATCAGCCATTAAAGCGCTGTCTGTTTAGCAGCCTTCTTCTGAGACAAGCAGGAGACGTGAGAGGTACATACAGGGCGTCCCCATGAGTACAAGCAAAACTCTCCCTCTTGTAAAGCCATCAAATTCAAGCCAGTGTTTTCCAGGATATTTGAGATACCACCACCTTCTTCCTCCCACCTATTCTGCAAGCTTCATGGGCACTGACAGCATTTAGCTGGGAGACAAACTGGTTATGCTACCATGGCTGCTGGGTCACAGCCAGTCTTCCTTCCTCTTGGAATTTTCATCAGAGGAGTCCTTTCTAATTCTTCCTGCTTACTGTAACTTCAGATCTGTGGGCAACCCACTTGCTGTTTACAGCCCCTCTTCTGGGACACAGTTAACAGAGATTGCTTGAGAAGGATCACTAACTGTTACTAATAAAATAAGGAATTAAAGTTGTCTACTAAGTCAAAACAACAAAAGAACCATCATGGTTTCCTGCTATTTTCAATCCCAACTGTTCCGGTCTCTGGTGGAAGTACATATTGGTGGGACAAGGCAGATGGTACACTAGGTAAGCCATGTGCCACACCTGTGGAAACACTGGTGTTACAATCCTCAGTGCCATGTAAATACTGAGATAGGAATGCCCAGAGCAAGCGAACTAGATTAGCTGAGTCAGTGAGCTTCAGGTTCAACCCTGCCTCAGTTTACAAGATGGAGAGTGACTGCAGGAAACACTCGACATCAATCTGGTCTCCTAGTACACACAGCTGTTCACGCACATGAACACACATGCACACACACATACACCACAGATGCACAAAGCCAAAGTCAAGCAGCAGTTGACTTTGTAAGTGAACCTGTGTGGGTGACAAACTCTTCAACTGTGAGACTCCTACACTGGCCCTCAGAGAGCCAAGTAATTTATGGCTTCTTAAAGCAGCCTGTCTTTTATACTTCCACCACTGATTTATTTCTTCTTTTCATTTCTTTGGGGGCAGGGGAAGTTGGAGTTTTTGAGATAGTGTCTCATTACGTAGGCCTGGTTGTCCTAGAAATCACTCTGTAGACCAGACCGGCCTCAAACTCACAGAGATCCGCCTGCTTTGGCTTCCCAAGTGCTGGGAATTAAAGGTGTGCACTACAACATGTAGGGGAAGCTGTAGCCACGCCTTCTTAGGGGCTGGCTACGAGAGTACCTGAGGGCTTGTGAGGGCGTGGTCAGAGTGAGTAGGGGGACTGCGTTTTTGGTTTTGGTTTCTCTTTGCTTCTTGCTGTACAGACTACCACCGGCTGGCTGGTTCGCTCAGTAAGTAAGGCTTTTCCCTATTAAATACCCTTATATTTCTACCTGACTCCGTACTGGTAATTTCTTACTATATCTGGTGTCAGAAGTGGGATTCGAATTCACGCCTCCAACAACACCCAGTTAGGATTTATTTTTCTTATAGAAAACAAACCTCAGTGGTTTGTTCTTCTGATTCTGAAAGTAATGGACTCTTGCTATGTTTTAGAACGAGGCAATGACCTAATGTATAAAGACAAAAGTGAAAAATCAGCTGCTTAGGATCATGTCAACCAAACTCTGACATGATGCAAATTTGATGCGTTCTATACATATGTTCCTGTGTATGGCGAGATACACATTTTTAATAAAGTGGGGCCATGTTATATGTATTATTTCACAAATGGTTCCTTAAATTAAACTCAGTCATGGCTACATTTTAACACATCAATAGAGTATGTCAACGAAAACAGTATTTTATATCTAAACACACCAGATGGTAATTATGCAGATATACTATAACCCAATATTTTTCTGGTGGTTATTAAATATGTTTCTCCAACTTTATGTCCTTATAAGCAGTGGTTCCTCAGAAGTTAGAAGTTCTGTGTTTACGAAGTTATAGACACTTTGTTTGGAGGCTTTTGATGCACTGATAAACTGGCCTCCAGAAAGGTAACACAGTTCTGGTGACATGTGGGCACACCCACTTCATCATCACACAGAATTTGTTCGAGAAGACAGACGAGGATGCAGAATCCTTTCTACATCCACAATAGCAGCTGCTCTATTCTACATTCAAGACAGAATGCTAGCATCTCTGATTTTCCACACATCTGCCTTAACCTTGTTTGAAATGCTGCTGACTAACAAAATTCCTATCTAAGCAGATGGTCAGAGAGGCATAACAACCCATTTTTACTTCCACGAAATTTCAGCAGATTCCAGTCTTAACCAATCCACTTGTGTCCACAGCACATAAGCAACCACTTTCCCCAGACAATTTGGGAGCTTGGTGGGATCCTGCTGTCCTCTGAACCAACTGAGAAGGACTCGACTTTCAGACAGTTTTAATCAAAGCATTTCATTGTGATTTTTTAAAAAACTGGCAATCCCCAAGTCTTCCAAGCAACACTCTGTTAAATAAAACATCTGGAGTCCATGAGCTCCTGAGCCATGCTGGCTCTGAGCAGGTTTACGATGGAGTGTTCGGCTTTGTTTCTTGGCAACCGCCTTTGCTCATCTCTCCTCACAAACTCCTGGAGATTTGATGGACCTTTCCAGTGAAAGGTCAGTGTTGCTAAGAGCGAAATGACTCAGCAGATATTTGCGACAAAGAGAGTGAATCTACCATGTACTCACATACATTACCTACAAACGAGTGCAAACAATCCCCAAAGTTCCTAATAATTACATGCTATCTGACATGTGTGTCCATAGCATGGAAAAGTGAAGGGCTAGTGTGTCTTCCATTCTCAGAACCATTGCTTAAAGGCTCTGCTGTCACTTGATAAGAAAACTCAGATCTACACCCCAGGAAAACTCTTTCATAATGCCTGGCTGTTCCTAGAGAACGACTTTAAGTCTCTAACGCCAGAATTCTACTGCCTCTGTATATGACCTTGTTAAATTCTGGGCCTTTCAGATGGAAAAGTTCAAACAAATAAAATCCTTGCATGATGAACAGAGAAATCACTGTGGATTCAGTTTCTTTGTATCAGTCCATCAAGGGCTAATCTGCACCAGAGGAGAGAAAGGAACCATAGATGTGTCTTCAGCTACATATTCTCTGTCCCCTTGCTTCTGTGTACCCCTCCTCCTGCAGTCACCATTTAACTGCTCGTGA